TCGAAAGATAAAAATTAGAATTAATTTCTGAACATACTTAGGCAGTTTACCTGTGCTTTGAATATCTGAACGTCATAAAGGAGAATGACTTGCCCTGCCATAGAATGCTGTGTTGTTTTGGTGTGGGGTTAAAAAAAGGAGCTTATCAGAATCAGAGCCCATTATTCTTCTGTATTTTGAGTACCCCTGAGATTGTATAATTCTGCCAAGTTACTACATTTGATAGCATGGTACCATGAATTTCAATGATTTAGCTTTAAATAAAAACAAAATTTTAGAGAACTATATTGATAATAAGAATAGTTTTTGACTTAAATATAGAACATAGTAACTTTAACTGATATTTAATATGTGGTTCGGATGAAAATAGATTTTGTAAGAGCTGTCAGAATCCTTTTTAAAAATGAACTGTTTTCTTCTAAGTAGCCATAGCTACAGTCTCCTTGTCTTAGTTATCTAGCTCTGCTATACCAGAGATACCAGATGGCTTTAACAAGTAGAAATGAACCTCCTCACTGTTTAGGAGGCTCGAAGACCAGAGTCACAGCAGTGGTTCTAAGGGAAGGCTTTCTGTGAGCTCTGGAGGAAGGTCTGTGTCAATTCAGCTCCTGCTTCCTTGCTCCTCACTGCCGGGAGGCAATTCCGACTCAGAGGGACACTATAAGACAAGGTAGGGCTGCTCCTGTGGGTTTCTGAGACGGTCGCTCTTTATGGGAATAGAAGCCCTTGTCTTTCTCCTACATGGGGGCTGGTGGTTTTGAACCAATGACCTGTGAGTAACAGCCTAACACATAACCACTACGCCCCCAGGGCTCCTTCTGCTTTCTAGTTCCTGGTATTTACTTTACCCCATATCTTCTTCCTTTACTTGCTTAATCTCTTCTGATTTCAAAAGAAGTAGCCATGGTAATACAGCAGGTTAAGAATTGAGCTGTTAACCATCAGGTCAAAGATTCAAACCCATCGACTGTTTGTTCCTTGGGAGACAAAAATGGCTATCTGCTCTCGTAAAGAGTGACAGTCCGAGAGACCCGCTAAGGGGCGGCTCTACTCTGTGCTGCAGCATCACTACATCAGCACCAACTCAATGGCAGTGGGTGTGTCGCAAATGAGACTGGTTTGAGATATGTCCTGTACTCGTCCTGTCTCATTTATAAAACAAGTACAATCCATTCTTAAATGGGATTGCTACAAGGGGTCACGATTCACAACACGGATTTTGGGGAGACACAACTCAACCCTAACATCCCTCATGGACATAACTTCTTAAAGAAATACAACTTATTCTTTAGTATTTTGTTATTAGTAAGCCCATATTCTGAGTTCACACTTTCAGGCTCCAAGCAGTCTGAAAGCCCTGCTTGTTCCGAGGTGTATGGTGCTCTCAGAAGACACCTGGTCTAAGCTTTCCTTCAAGATGCTGACAGGGAAAAACCTCACAAATGAAAGATGTTAATATGTCGTCTCCTGAGCATCCACTTAAAACACCTGCTTTCTGCTGACAGTGCTTTGGCACCGTTTGTTTTCTCACACAGGGAGATTAGAGAAGCTGCCAAAGAATCATGGAAGATGTTCCTTGTTGGTTCCAATGCATTTACTGTACTTGAAGAAAAGCAAGTTTCATTTTTCTATATTAAATTATGGCTACATTATGAAGGATAATAAAAATGTATGTGTATGTACAGTACAACATGGGTTTGTTCTCATCCTGGTTCTGTTAGTAACTCCGCTCACACCTCTGTTACATCGATACTTTCTTAGAAGTCTGAAAAACATTCTCCAAAGGTTTCAAGTGGAACATAATGTAAAAATAACTACATTGAACTGGTTAATGTTTCTTTTCCCCCTCCCCATTAGGATTTGTCTCTTAAATAAACAAATTTCACTCATTTGGAAAATTACTTTGGGCAACCCAAACTTCTTGCCAATTATATTGCACTAGGAGAGCATCGTTATCTGAAGTAGAAGAATTTTTAGTTAACACAGCAGTGGAAACTCAACTTCTCTGTGATTGATACACCTGTGGAAGAAAATCTGTACATTTTTACAAAGTGACACAACTAAATAAATAATGTGACAGGAAACAGAATCCTGATTCAGTTAGCCGCACTCTTTTTTGGACTAGAAACTTAGGACAGACAGATGTGTGTGGCCCAAGAAAGGCTCTCAAACATCATTTAGCCTATGGTGTCTACAACTGAAGCACACTTACTGTACACGAACATAAGTTTAGAGGGTGGGGCAAAAATGAAAATACACATCCTCTTTCTGCATCACAGTGTTCAGGGGAAATTTCAGTTGCTGAGTACACCTCTCTCCTTTAATACAAGAATTTACAAAGCACTCGTAAATCAAAGAAGTCCTGGAACTCTTTGGCTCTGATGGGGAGACCAAGTGAGTATGGCTAGAGCCTTAGCAATTCCAAGTCCATTGTGGTGACTTTAAGTGTGCCTGGAAAGTTCCACAGCATTCTGCTAGGCTGCTCACTGAAGAAGACTACAACCATCCTTCAATTGTACAGGATCAGCTGGGGGTTGGCAAGGTCTTGATAGTGGAAGCCAGAGATCATGGATCCTTGACCACACTGGTCCCTTAGGCAGCACAATTCTCAGAGTCCTAGAGAGCAGCGCTGAAGCTGCAGCTTCACAGTTATGGAGAAGGATGTATGTGTGACATCATGCTATAAAAATTCAGGGAGATACTGAATACCCTATTTAATCATGGTTTTTGCAAGGTTTTCGCTTTTATAACTTTCTTTTACTTAGACAGTTTCAGCAGAGTTGACACTTGTTGAGCGCTTTCTCCCAAATGGTGGATGGGACATACTGGCCAAAGGTAGGACTTCGGTTGCTCTTCTAAGTCCCAGGCAGCCCAACTATGGGTTTTATCAAGCTCTCAAGACCACTCTATGGGGTGGATGCAATTGCCTTGCATGGAAATGAGCATGTATTCATTTTGGTCTAACAGCAGAAAGTTTCCTCCCAACTAGCGAGGCAGGGGGAGGACTCCAAATTAAAGAACAGTGGTAAATACATGTCAACTTTTTCAGCACTATGGGGGACAGGCGTGGGAGCAGGGAAGCAAATAGCATTCTTCTAATTATCACAACTATCACACATTTTAATTTTGTGAAAGCTCCATTCATTCAGATGCAATTTGCACAAACACACATAAAGATCACATGTAAGAATAGCTGCCAAAATAAAACCTAATCTCTTTTTTAGCGCTTATTATAGGTCAAGCACTGTTTAGTGTTATACATGAACTATCTCAATCATAATACCCATTTGACACACGAGAACTAAAACAAACAAACAAAACCCCATCAAACCACTCCCATTCCTAATCACAGAGATTCTATAGAATGTTTCTGATGCTGTAAATCTGTACAGGAGCAAAAAAGTCTCATCTTTCTCCCACTGACTTGCTTGCAGATTTGAACCAATGGCCTTGCTGTTAGCAGTCCAGCACTTACTCAAAAGCACTACCAAGGCTGTTTAATCATTATGTTTCATACTCCCATGTAAAAATATAACTGTACACTACTGAGTTATCCACTCGAGGTACTATCTTTAGCACAACCTTAGCACATTCAAATAAAGTAAGTGGCCACTTAAAAAAATAGAAACCATTTTTAAAAAGGCAGTTAGATTTAAAATATCTAGGATTATGACCCAATAAAAATGTTTATTAAAAAAGATTTAAGGTCTTAAAGGCTTAAAGATAAACAAGCAGCCATCTAGCTGACAAGCAACCAAGCCCACACTGAGGAAGCACACCAGCCTGTGTGATCATGAGGTGTTGATAGGATCCGCTATCAGGCATCAAAGAACAAAATATTATATCGATGTGAATGAGGGGGAGTGCGGAGTGGAGGGGGGGAAATGAGCTGATACTAAGGGCTCAAGTAGAAAGAGAATGTTTTGAGAATGATGATGACATTTGTACAAATGTGCTTGACACAATGGATGAATGGATTGTGATAAGAGCTATAAGAGCCCCCAATGAAATGATTTTGTAAAATTTAAACATCTAGATCTTAAAATAAACTTTTACAGAATAACTTCAGAAAACCAGCCAGATTGTATGTTATCTATAATAAACAGCAAAAAAATCTGCTGGCCATCAGTCTAAAAAAGTGTACGGCAGAAAGAACGCTCAGCAGGGCACACCCCACAGAATAATGGAACCACAGCTTCACCTATTTTATGAACAGATTTTCAATCATAAAACCAAGTTAAACCTAATATAGTACAAAAATCTGTACAAAGTTCATTTAACCAAATGTAATCTGTTTTTATTATTCAAAACTACACCTGAAAGGTAAATAAGAGACAATTTCTCCTCAGACTTAAGTAGCTGTATGGAGCTCATTATAGGACAAAACCACGTGCTGGGTGTCTAGATTGAATAATCTGGAAAAAAAATATTAGTCATAGCGTAATTTGCTGACCTGGAGGGTTATCTGTAAAATCCCATCGTTTCCTTCTTTCAATGACTACCCAAATATTTACTCGATGATGACTAACACATTTTAGTAAAGCACTAACAAGTTCATGGGCAGGAAGCAAACCAAGCTTTCAAAACTATCTGTAAGGTGCTAAGCCAGCTGGGGAGGTAACATTGAAGGGAGACCCAAGGGAGCGTAGCCCCCATCTACGGAATTCAAACCAATTCAAAACCAAAAACCTAACTGGCTACATAGCACTTGCCCTGTGGGCTGGCTGGCAAGCCAGTGCATAACTCCCCAATAAACACTCGAAAGGCGAATCCAAAGAGTTCTCGGACCACAGCTGCTTCCTGATACAAGGGCTCTACAGAACTTATTAGGGCACAGTCATGTAGGACACTCACCTGGAAAACTCTTGTTAACATAACACCTAAATAACTGGATTCTTTTAAAATGTGCTTTTATTGATTTTTCTTTTTTTTTTGCATCTAAGATGTCAAATGTCTCAGGTATATGTAAATGAAATAGCACCATTGGAGGGACATTTTACCTGCTGAAGGAATCGGTCAGAGGCTTGGCTGTGCTTGGTTAACATGCTTGGCAGAGCAGGATTAGCATATTCAAACTGGGGATTGTAGGTATAGTCAGACTTGAAGAATCTGACTTTCTCTTTCTCCAAGTTGGTGGGCTTTATAGCAGTCAATATACAAAATTTTTTTCCAGAAAAGTCATCTTTTTCAAAACTTCTAGACAGCTGAGGCTGCTGCTTTGGCGTTGGCAGAGTGGAGAAATGGCGCCGCTTGACCTTGTTTCTGGGTTTGGGTGGCAGCACTATGTTGTTCCCTGCAACAGAGATATCATAGGTAAACTTTACAGGACTTGACACTGAACTCCTGACAAGGTCAGCAGGCTGCCCCTCCAGGCAGTACCAGCTCCCACTGCTCATCACAGGCACAGGGACTTTCATCTTGCGAAGGTCTTTGCTAAGAGAAGAGCTAGGAGGTTTGATGGGTTTTCTATAGCGTTTGCAGTAGGCAGAGGAAGACTGTTTTTGTGAGTGGTGCTTTCTCCCCTCTTTCCTCTGAAGTAGGACATTGTAGCTACTGGTTCCAGTTGTGAAAATGTCCTTGAGTACTCCAGGGGGCAAATGCAGAATGCTTCTCTTCCTGTCAGTGGCCACTGAGTCTTCTGCATTCAGAACAGACGTCTTAGCAAGTTCTTGCTCTGGCCAGTGGAGCTTCTCTGTGTTAATAAACAAAACCAAAACAAAAGAAATAACAGAGATGCCAGATGAAGCCAACTGCTTATTATCTGAAAAGCATTCTGAAGGTATGGTAAATGTTATTGTTTTTCAACAAGCTTTAGAAATTACATTTTGAATACTCAAAGAGTGTATTGCTAATCATGCTAGTACTGTTTTTATACCAAACACTGTAATGCCTTACATACGAGCATGCCCAGGCTAAATGAGCTATAAAACTCTCAGCTTCAAACCTTATAGAGGATCATTGTCTAATGCATATGTGAGATAATATACAAACACATTCATATATGCAATAATTTGAAAACTCAACTCTACCAATGCAGGTGAATTTCTGAGAAAGAATATACAAGGGTAAGTCAACAAACATTGCTATAAAAGCACAGAAAGCTTTCTATCAAAATGGGAAGCTTTTGTTTCTCAATTTATCCTCTCTCTAGGTCTCTACACTTCTGAAGGCAGTGTTTCCATCTCTCTAGCTCTTCCCCAAACAATTCTGTACTCTTCAGTTTATACATCATCAGTCTTGGCAACCTCCAGCAACTTAAATCATTTCCCTTTTACATGTTCTTTGAGTTTCGTGGAAAAAAAGAAGTCTGAAAGAGAAAGCTGTCAGGGCTGTGGGGTGGATGGGGTAAGGTAGCCCAGTGAATTGCCATAGGTCAGCACTTGTTATCGTTTAAGAATGAGAGGTATATTGTAGCAACGGAAACCAATTCCTTGGCTCAAGCTTCCTGGACTTTTTCTTAACCAATACAGTTTTCCATTTTCTTAACATTTTCTCGACTATTAAAAGATACAGTGTCTGGGGTCTTTAAGGCTTGAAGTTAAACAAGCAGCCATCTTGCAGAAGCAACAAAGCTCACATGGAAGAAGCACACCAGCTTGTGTGATCATAAGGTATTGACGGGATCAGGTATCAGGCATCAGAAGACCCAAAACAAACAAACAAATATATTGATTCAAATGATGGGAGTCAAGAGGAAACCCAAAGCCCAGCTGTAGACAGTTGAACATTCCTCACAGAAGGGTCACAAGGAAGGGATGTCAGCCAGGGTGCAACCCAGCACCGACAGAACACACATTCCTCTGGCTCTTTAATTGCTGCCCCCGCCCCCATCATGACTCCAGTGCTACCTTACAAACCTGGGTAGACAGGGGAATGTACATTGGTACAGATGAGAGCTCTCGACCCACAGAATCCAGGACAGATAAACCCCTCAGGAACAGCCATGGGAGTTGCGATTCCATGAGGGTAGGGGGAATGTCGGGGGAGAAGATGGGGAAATGGGGAACTGACTACAATAATCAATGTATAACACCCCCACCTCCAGGGGGGCAAACAACAGAAACGTGGGTGAAGGGAGACAGCAGATAGTGTAAGATATGAAAATAATAATAATTTATAATTTATTAGGGGTCCATGAGGGTGGGAGGGGAGGGAGGGATGGAAAAAAGAGGAACTAATACCAAGGGCTCAAGCAGAAAGATGTTTTGAAAATGATGATGGCAACATATGTACAACATATGTACAAATGTGTTTGATACAATAAGAACTGTAAGAGGCCCCAATAAAATGATTTATTAATTTTAAAAAGTCTAACAGTGAAAAAAAAAACCACCCCAAACCTTTATCATAATAAAGTCTATTAAGAAAGTCTATTAAGCTTACTCCTTTGGGATCCTCAAAAACAGTTGCCCAAACCTTCTGAGCTGAGCTCTCTGCCTTGTATTTAACTGGACCAGCAGATGCCCTTGGACTGGACCTCCTTTTGAAGGCACTCTGGTGAGACTAAGCCAAGTGTACTACGGAGAGAACTTGTCTGCAGCCATCCACTGATCACAGCGGCATGCTTAAACATGTTTGTTGCAAATAGCCCAATGCATGTACAAATTGGAACCCTAATAGCACGACTTTCTGACTTCCACGTATAGAATTGCTAATAGAAAAGTAAAACTTCAAAGCATTTCAAAGCCAAAGGGATTACAAAATTGGGCACGGTATGTAGTCATCAGTAAAAAGATGGACAACGCCTTAACTCAAAAATAATTTTAATACTAAACAGATCATTCTAAAGCATGCATGTTTTAATATGTCCTTAGTATCAGTAACTGGTTAATTTTCTTGATCATTCTAGCTTATAGATTAAGATGAAAGTAAAAGAAGTTTGCTTGTTTTTCTTGGAAGGGTTGAAAGACTATTTTAACGACAGCTACATAGATTTTAGTATATCAAATGGCACGTTAAGGAGAGGTCAGTTTTGTCTTTAAGCCTCACAAGTGCTTTAGACAGGTGACTTGATATACTGTTGCTCATACACTTATTTTAAATTGTGTTTATTCATAGTCAACAAGTACATCAACTACTATTAAATGCATGGCTCTGAGAAGCACCCGTATAAATACACTGCCTTCTTTCATTCAGATTCTAATTTGAGCCTGAAGGCAAGCAGTCTGAATATTAAATAATAATACAAGGAATTAAATGTGAAAAGCAAAAGGTATAAACAATAACCTAAGAGTTCACAGAAGTCAGTGACCCTATAGGGCAGGGTAGATAGAACTGTCCCAGTGGGTTTCTGAGGCTGTAATTTTTTACAGTGCAGGAGAAAGATGAGGCTTTAAGACTATTCAGATGCAATTCTAAACTGACAGCATTGGAGTCTGTCTGAAATCCTGCTCATTTGAACAAGACTGCCTTGTGACTGAATCTGCCTACACTTCCTTTTCTAAATTCTTCCTGCACATAGGGCACAGTCTTACCGACCTTCCACATTCTTCCCTCCACGTCTCACCGACCCTTATGACTGATCTCTCAACCGCTGGTTCCTACAGTGGAGGCGGCTTCAATGCGTAGATGACTTGGTTAGCTGGCCTCAGGAAAGAGATAGTCTAATTCATTTCAATATTTGGAAAATTGTTTATCTATAGAGATCTGTAATTTGCTCACTCAAGAGTTTAAAATAGGACTCAGCATTCAGGGATCTTCTCTTTCACTAGATAATAAAGAGTAAAGCAGCTGCCCTCTGTTGACACATTTATGTGTGAGCTGTCATCAGGAACTGGACATGGGATATCACTTAAGCTTCAGAGATGTTGACAAGATTGTGCTGAAGAGTCTGAGACTAGGAAGCAGCAGACAGTTCTAGGCCAGCGTGTGAAATCTGAATTCTGGAGTTGACAGAGAACATTAAAGATGACATAAAAGTGTGAAGTTGTAAGGGGCTAAATAAAAAACAATGCTAAGTAAATGGTCTGTACAAGCTGAGAAATAAGAGCTTGATTACACAGGGTCAAGGAGGAAGGTGGACTGCACAAAGCAGCCTTTCAATAAATTGTGAGAGACTCGGCCAGCCAAAAATAAGCAGGACAAACAAACAAAACTTTTATCACAAGCTGGTAGGTCCCATTTCCTCAGGGGTTCCATACATAAGTGTTGCCAAGTGCTAGTCAAGAGTGGGCAGGGTAGGCAAACATAAGCGAGGGACACCAGGGCACAGGCTGCAGCCTAAATGCCCTGGAACAATGTCCATTTCCCTAAAAGAGACACCACGTTTTAGGAGATGAGGAGGGAATGAAAGGACAGGGAAATAGACACCAGGAGGGAAGGAGCATGGGAATGAAGATAAGACTCGGGTATCATAAGCCTAGAGAAGTTGGGTGAGGCCTGCGAGCAGGCAGGAAGGTAAAGGGAGGTAACCAGGTTCTTTTCTCATTTGATCTTCGCAAGTAAAAGGAAGTAAAGTGACATCAAATTAAAATCAAGCAATAAAACTACTCTGAAGAATTCTTAATTTGATAATTCAATCTATCTCTGTCAGCCTGATTTAATTTTTTAAAAAAAATCAGTGTAAAAGTGCTGCCTTTGGTTTCTAAGAGTCAGCAGTTCTATGACCAAAGAGCTAAACTCAAAGAATTCTTTTGACACAAAGCCTGAATGACATTAAAACCCATAATTTTTTCCCATCTCAAACAACCTACATGCTTGGGGATGCTAAAAACGAAAGTCCTAGACCATCTGCCAGAACACTCAAGGAGAAGTGGAGGGTGGCAGAGGGGTGTGCAGGGCAGAAGCCCTTCCCCCCAGAGTTCAGCGTGTTAGGTCACTTGCCAATTATCTACCTGGGAGGCTTAGTATCAGTTCATTTGAAGCTCCATCTGCTGCATGGGTGTGCCAATGGTGTACTTATTTAATAAACACCAATCCTGCCAAATGCTAGATAGCATGTGACGTTCATAGAAGTAGGGCAGGTGGTCCTTCACACAACTCATACAAGGTGGATGTAAATTAATTTCCCAGAGTCTCACTAATCTTACTTTGATTGTATGAAAACGGACTTACATAAAGAGCAACCCTTACTACACAAAGCTGATTCTGTCCTTCTCTCAGGGATCCTATGGGCAGAGGAGAAATGCTCCAGGGGTGTTCCAGGTTCAGACCGCAGAGCAACTGGTAGATTCAAACCACTGACCTTTAAGTTAATAGTTGAGCATTTTAATCACTGTGTCACCAGAGTTCCTGTTGAAAAGCATTTGAGAACCTAAAATACTATTTTTGTCATTTTAAATGATTGTTTTTGCTTTATGAAAAAAATAATTTTGGGAACATGCAAAAAAAGTTTATTGGTGCCCTGAAGTGATATAAATGGTTAATGTGCTTAGTTCCTAAGCGAAAGGTTAAAAATTTGAGTCTACCCAGAAGCACCTGGGAAGCCGACCTAGGTGATCTAGTTCTGAAAAATCTGCCATAAAACCTATGAGACAGTACATCCACAAATACTTATATAATGTACAGAAGCTCTTTGTACACACACACACACACACACATATATATTAGCGTGGCAGAACACACAGGGGACGCTTATACCTTGAGGGAATGAGTTGCTGGACCTGGGGGATCAAGACCATAGTCTCTGAAGCTATGAAGGTCAACTGGCATAACATAATTCCGAGAGACAATGAGTAGTGCCGGAGGCCTTAA